GCCTGTGAGCCATGGCCGCTGAGCCTGCGCGTCCGGAGCCTGTGCTCCGCAATGGGAGAGGCCACAACAGTGAGAGGCCCGCGTAACAAAAAAAAAAAAAAAAAAGAAGAAGGAGGAGGAAGGGAGGAGGAGGAGAATAAAAGAAGACAATATCAACAGCAAGAGCAAACTAGGCGGAGGGAACTTGCCATAGTAGAAAGTCATTATCAAGTTGCAGTGGTTAAGGTGGTGAGGTTTAGCCTAGAGATAGATCAAGAGAACAGTGACCCAGTAAAATAGTCAGGACATGTGGAAACCTGATATATACAGAGGTTGTAACAGAGAATGCATATATATATTACAACAAGGTCAGGAAGAATTCCTTCAATAAGACACCAAAAGAACAAATGGCAAATGAAATACATTTGGCAATAGTAAACCTAAGTCACTGTTATTCAACTGAAGATACAAAAGGTAGTGAAAAGATATTTGCAATACATAAAACCAACCAAAGAGCGTCCAAAATATATAATTAATGCCTGCACATCTGTAAGAAAAAGACAAAAATTCCGACAGGAAAAAAAAATATTAGCTGAAGACAGATTCCTTTTCCAAAAGAGGCTACGTGACTTCTACCCTATAAACACAAGGAAAAAGGTTGAACCTCATCAGTAGTTAGAGAAATGCCAAAGCACAATCAGATAGAACTTCACACCCACCAAAATGGCCAAAAGGAAAAACATTGGTTGATAACAAGTGGTGGTGAGAATATGGTGCAATGGGAACTCTCACTCGTCACTGGTGGACGTGTAGATTGTCATAAACACCTTAGGAAACAATTTGGCATTGCCTGGCAAAGCTCAAGGTGTGCGTGTCCTCCATCTACCTTGCAGTCCCATGCCTACTTGTTATCTAGAGAGACTCTTGCCCACGTGCAGGTGCATGGGGAGATAAGTATGTTGAGGGCAGCATTGTTTGTAACAGCAAAATATTATAAACAATGAAATTTTCTTCACCAAGAAAGTGGATAAATTGTGCCATGTTCATATAACAAAATTAATTTCATATAATAATATAGTACTGTACAAACGTGAAAATGAGGACACTGGATCCGATGCCAAAACACAGTGCTGGGTAAATAAAGCCCGAGGTAGGCTGTGATGCAAAGCATAATAAATACCACTCCTCTAAAGTTTTAAATTATGCAGAAAACACTCCCTGTTGTTCATGATGCTCAGAAGTTTTTAAAAAGTAAGGGAATAGAAAACAATCTGGAAAACAATGTCCTCTGGGGACTAAGGACGGAAGTGAAATTGGGGATGCGGACACAGGTGGCTTCAACTATATATTCGCAGTGCTTTATTTCTTAACCTTGAATATGAGTACTTGGCTGTTTATTTATTATTCCCCCTATCCTTTATAAAAAATATCTGGTCCTTAGATACACAAAATTGATTTTTTTTCATAATCGTGGTCCAAGACAAACTACTTATACCTGGCTTTTTTGTTACATTTTTTTCTTTTTTTATTGAACACACTTTTAAATAATACAATGAACCCCTGGTGAACCTATCAGCCAATCCGAGAACTGGAAAAATTAGCAATAATTTGCATGTGTCCCTCCCTTATCCTGTGCCCCGCCAGCCCCAGGCTAGTATCCTAGCCACTACCTGGAATTTATTCCC